AAAAAAAATGGATAAAGATCAATATTATAAAATTTAAAAAGTACCATTCCATTGCTCTATTAATGCGGCTGGTAAAGGTATCTTGTGTCTTGATTTAAGGGGAGTAATTGAAGGCATCCCAAGTCCTTCTTTAGGATAATCATATTCTGTACAACCACTAACACTTTGACCTTAAAATAACAGAAAAAAGCACATTTGTTTATTTTAACAGATGTTATTACAAAAATTAAAAAATTATAAAACACTTTAAATAACATTGCTTGATACTTACTGCTTTTAGTTATCTGCATTTTTTCAATAAGTGTTGGAAATGAGTCATCTGCAGCAAAAAATCTATCCAACATTTTACCGGATAGATCTAAACTATCTTTGGCTGATATTGATTGACTAATCATGGATATGGAGTTATCCATAGATTTTGAAACATTCAATATAGAATCCATCTTTAATCTAAATTGAAATGAATCAATAATATTATTCATTCAACAAAATATTAGAAATATACCAGTTGACAAATTCAGATCACTTACACTTCAGTAAATGCAGTGGCTTAACTCCGATGAAGATAAAAATTTTAACTACTTCTAATTCTAATTCAAACTAATTGAAGAATTGAACTGAATTTTAAATGATTGGGAATTAATAATTTATTAAAATCAACAATATGACTACATCGTGGTATTAAAAATTAACATTAAATAATAAACAAATAAACTTACAATTTAACGGGCTCCGGGCAGTTCTTCCTCCGAGATAACAAACCGAGATAATATCCTGGAGGAAACCATGAAATCCTTACCCATCAATTTAAGTGCATCGACGTTAAAATGTAAAAGTTCCATTTTTCTAAATTTAAAATATCTTTTATTGTATGATTAATTCAATTTTAGTTGAAAATGAAATACTAAAATTTTAAATTCTGTAAAAATCTTGTCCGGACAAACCGGKACCGTAAAAATCTAACCTAACCTAATTCAGACAGTGATAAACTCACATTCACGGTCTTGGAAGACCGGCGTGCAGCGTGCTCACTKTTCACAATCAACACAATCTTACATCCAAGATCTGATATTTTATAGTTATTGACTTGGTAATTTTCCTCTATATTGTTTTTCAAGAATTTGGTATTATTTAAAATCTTACATATCTATATTTTCCGTTCACAGTTGTCTACTCAGCGTTCAGTATAATATGTTTAATTGTAATTTGAGTATATTTTTTATACAGATGGCGTTGTAAATGGTACTCTCAAAGTCTCGTGCTCAACAACCAATGTGACCTCCCGAACTTGCCTATCGCACTAGCCACTTGTCTTAGCCATTCAGAGTCTTAGGTCTTAATGTCTTATATAAGCTGGTTTTAACATGCTTTAGAGTTTTACCATCCGTTGGTATTATCCTTAATCCTTATCAGTTATTACAATACCACTAATTTTTAACAGTGAATAATTTTACCTCCATAGCTGATCGATACCACCTGGCACACATTCCGGTATGCAGTTACACCGGCTATAACACCAAATTATTCAACTCGCAAGATTACGTGGTAGTCGTTACACACCGTACGTCGATATTTAGGCTTATTGGACTGGTCACGGACAAATAACAAAGCGAGAAATTTAATTCTACCATTCTTTACAAGCTGGACGAAGTAATGGAAGATTGTATACTATGAACTGAAATCTGTTCCATCAATTTTTGATTTTCATTTGTTTTGATGTTCACTTTAAGAGTAAAAACTGAACTGTTACATATTGGATTGTTTAAATGATCTGTAAGTTTAAAAATATATCTTTTAATTAATGTTATTTATTTGTAGGTATTTTAACTGTGAATTTTAATATATATTTTTTAAATTATCAATCATGTATAGCATCAAATTAACTTTACAATAGGCCTTACAAGTACTGAAACGTTGCTTCATCACTTTGCACTGATAACCTTTGCCTTAAAAAAAAAAAAAAATGGCACCTACATATCAGTTATTCTGGTTACCCGAACGATTTTTTGATCAACTCAATTATTTTATTACTACCACTAGATAACATTAACTATGTTTATAAGATGGCGTTAAAATAGTTTTAAATTCTTAAATTAAATAGTGAGTGTTTTAACGCTATCATATTAACGTAGTAAGTTGCAAAAATGGTTTATAAAATGTAAACTGTTTTAAAAGTAAAATGTAGTTTAAAAATTTAAAACCAATTTAATTTCAAACCGTTTTAACGCCATCACATAAATGTAGTAACTGTGTTATGTTATTTTAGCTTATTATTTAATTATTTGTAAACACTGAGTTTCGTGTTGAACATACTTATTTATATTGTTTTGCTTTTTAGATTACAGAATTGTTTTGAATTGTCAGTGTTAACCTGTGTTTAGTTCCAATAATAATTTTAGGTTACTGTAAATTGTTAAGGTATATAGTTGGGTTAAATCATAAAATATTTTAATTAAATACTTTAACACTGGATGTAGGTCAGTTGATTCGCAGTATTTTATTTTTTTGCCCATTTTTGTTTTAAAGAATTAGAACTTTGTTTTATTTGTGTTATGTTATCACCATTAGATTTCTAGTATGTTAGTACATAATAAAGCTCATAAAATTTTTGTCAAATTTCATTTTAAACTCATATGGGTTATAAAAAGAAATCTGGGACGTTAGACACATTCAATTTTTATTTATTATGAAATAATGCAGTAAATAAAATAATGTAATGCAATATTTCAGAATTTGTATTTTAATTGTGAATTTTTACATATATTTTTTATTCTTCGTTGATTTTAAATTTATTACTAAACCTGTTATTAACTAAAAATTCCATTTAGGCAAATGAGTTCATCATTTGCTAAGTTTCAATGAAAGTATTGAAGTGAGGATGTATAAATTTAATTGCATTTTGAAAATTGTTTTATTAAACCTATTATTGGTCCTACTGAGTTCCTAATTTATGACATCTATGTTCTGCATATACAAAGCAAATATAGATGGACTCATTTTGATGCACATAACATGCGTATTATTGACTAACTTGTACCCATTGACATAATATGTTACATAAAAATAAGTTATATTATTCACATCATTGTTATGTGGAAATATACAAATTACATAATAAGCTTGTTTCTATAAAAACAATTATTTAAATTTTAGTTTATTTAAATACAATACAAATCTATAATATGTACCATTTTTAATGATTTTTAGTTGTAAAAATCCCAACCTAATTATCATTCATTCTAAAGTTCAAAATTCATTATTTTCTTTGTAGGTAATTCGTTACTAAGCCAAGGTTTTGGACTTACCAATTTTCACTTTGGCTAAGATGGCAATAGGTAGCACAAATTTATAAAAACACTGTCTTCAAAACCTTTTTTGATTGCATTATCATAATAAATTCATAATCAGTGTAACATAAGTTTACCGATGAACATATCTTTGAGTACCAGTAAAAGTTCTACTTAAATTGATAGTGTTTTTTCAGATATTAACTCATAAACAACAGGTTTCTAACAGTTAAATTAAATTAATTATTTGTAGTGCATATATATTTTCATTAAATCCTTTGAACCAAAAATAACAACTGTAAATTGATTGATATTCTAATATAAAAAGTTGTTCTGTATCATCCACTTGACCACTTCCCCTCATACACATATTCTTTTGAGGAAATTGTTGATATGTATTATTATAAATTCTCCTTAAATTTATTTTAACATTATTTTTATTTGGCATCAAACAACCAATATCGTCAGTTAGTTTAATCAYTACTTGCATAAACTTTAAAAGGAATATAAAAATTGTTTGTTGTATTTTCTTTCAATGTATGAAAGCATATTCAAGATTATGAGAATGTTGTTGATATAATGATATTTTATAATTTTTGTTTTGGATTTATCTGTTGTTACACTTTACACAATTGTATTATTTTTTTTGTTTCACGGTAATATATATTGAATTATTCTAAAATTTTTTTTGAAAAACAAATATGATAATCAACTTTGATTTTTAATTGAATTATTTTGATTAAACTCATATTTTATATTTTTTTTAACTATTAAATTAATGATAACTAACTTGTGATGGCCATATTACTAAACTATATTTGTCACTCATGCTCAATGTCAATTGTCCGTGTATTAAAAATATTAGGTGTAGAATTTCCAAAATTAATAAAACAATTGTTGTGTGTCAAATGTACAACTATCATAAAATTGCCAATGAACCTGTTTAGTGAAGCTTTATCTTTAGACTAAATTTTAAACTAAGGTTTGACCTATACTTTGGTTATATTTTTTATTCTTAAAAAATTATGTGTTATTATGATACTCTTTTATCTTGTTTTAATATTTGATTGGCAATAAAAATGTTTTATGAATAGATAAACCTCAAATAATCATGGAAGAGGATTTAAATGAAGTCAAAATCAATGTAAGGAGTCTGTTAACCAGTTCGCAAAAACCACTAAGTATTTCACAGCTTCAAAGAGATTACTGTGAACAAGAAGGATGCAACTTACCTTATAGAAGTTTGGGTTTTAGTTCAGTAATCGAACTGCTTCAAAATATGAATGATGTTGTTACTGTAAGAAGAAAATTATTTTTTTTACTCACTGTGAAATCTCTAAATATTAACTAATGAATACCTTTTTCTATATGTTAGGTCCCTACAAATCCAAATGAATCATCAACCTTATCTCTTGTGGTTGGCGATAAAACCAACCATTTAAGAATGCTTGTTGTTAAGCAAAAAACGTGTACTAAAAAAAAGAAGCCCAAATCAAACAAGAACAGTCAAATGATGCATAAAAGTTATAATAGAAACAACAGTTTTGCTGGATGTAATTCTTACAATAATACAATGTCATCTAAAACCAACAATTATTCAAACAGCAAATCTCAAAATACTAGACTTGGCTATTATAGATCCAATAATTCATCTACAAGTTCTAATCAATTCAGACAGTCATGTTCATCATTTAGTAAAAGTTATTCTGATTTGAAAAATGTTATCAACCAAAATGCAATTTCCAGTACTGGTTATGTGACAGATAAATTGCGTTCTGATATACAAAAATACATACTTGAAAATCAAATGGTAACTTTTTGTGTTATAGACGATAGTAATAATTTGTGTCAACTATCTCATGATAAAGAAATAGTCATATATTACCAATTACTATTAGGTGCTTCTTACTAAACATGTCTACTAAAAGTTTATTTTTCATTTTCTACTTAGGTATACACCATACTACATTAAATAAATAAAAATATAATATGTTGGTGCTTTACTAATTAAATAAAACAGATAATTGCAAGATATCATATTATACTATAAATCAAATCAATTTATACATTATTCAAGCTAAGAATCTAAATTACTGTGTCAAACTTTGTATGTTCGCTTATTCATTTCAGATGGTAGTTTTTATGGTGATTTACCTGATCTCATCTTGGGAAATACATGTTAATTGACTGGAATATGGAGTATATTATTATTATTATGAAACATTATGATTTATKACTTGAAAATTATTGTAGATATTTTTTTTGTTAATTTTGTTCTAATATAAAACTAAAAACTAGTATTTTTTTTAGTATTTGTAGAAATTTCTTATTTAAATACAGATATAACTAATAAAGTATGCTTATCTTGCTTACTATTAAGTTTGACAATTTAAATTTATAATTATAAAATTTAATATATACCCATATGTGTTGTCTCCGTCTTACAAGTGCGTAGCATTGTAAACACTGCTTAGCGGAAGAACCACTTGGCCTGTACTCTTAGTAGAAACACAAAAAGTTAACACAATTTCTGTGTCTTAGCATTTTGATTTGTTTGATATCTCCAATAAAAAATAAAAAATAAGTTATAAAACTTTTAAAAATCTGATATTTGTAAGTTTTTGAAACTTCAATAACTTTTGATATATTGATCTTATCAAAAAAATAAAAACACAGTGCCACAGTTAAAATTCTCCTTTTTTATGGTGAAAATTTGATTTCTTAGTTATAACTAGTTTGTAGACTTCTCAGTTCTTTCCCGCGCGAAACAGTTTTTGGTATGCTACACACTTGTAAGATGGAGACAACATGTAGRTATCACATCCTCTTAAGAAAATTATCTAATGCATCATTATTATAATTAGTAATTACCTATAAATTATTTATAGGTGGTAGTATTTAAAGCACTTCATTTTGTAGACTATTAAATAGTCATTTTAATATTTAAAGTTGATAGGAATTGTTTTTAGTTCTGTTCTTCAGGGTTTATATTTACATTTAACTTGCATCTTTTTTTCAGCCAATAACTGTAGATAAATTTAAGGAAATTGTAAAACACCATCCTGATTATTCGGTTATGAATGTAAAGAGTATGCAAGAATTAAAAAATCTAGTAAAAGGTTTTTTAAATATAAATGATACCAGCGTTTCTTTGAAAAACACACATCACTTTGAAACTAATGTTCCCGTTCAAGACACAGGTACTTAATAAACATCAATTTTGAATAGTAATATTTAGTTTTATTTAATAATTCTTAATGTACATAATACATTTTGTGCTTGAAAAGCAACATCTAAGATCATTCTGAAAAAAAAAATGCATTTTGTGATATTGTTATTACCTCAAATTTATTTTTTAATGTTTTAGAAATGTTATGAATTAAATGCCTATTATTTAATATTTTTTTTATATCCATAAAACATCATCTCTTAATTGTAACTTGTAATGAAATTACAAATAATATAGAAATGTGAAATGGAGGATGTCCCGTGAGGATTTACCCATTGCTATATCTCCCGAATAATGGTGATATCGACATTCTAGTTTTGTAATAACTAATAAGATACACAGGGATAAGAATTACATTTATTTCATATTTTAATTAATTTTAATGTTTTGGTAAAAGAGTTTAAAAAAATAAATTTTTTATTTAATTATTTCCAAAAAAATTAAAGATAGCCATTTTGTAGAGTTTATTTTTCTGAAAATATTGACGTTTCAACATTTTATTTTCATTAATTCCCTGATTTTTAATATTTTTTTTAGTTTTGAGAAAAAATGCAAATTATTTAACACTAATGTTATCATTTTATTAAACATGTGACCCGCCGTGCGCATTCCTATACGGCCAGCCGAATACCTTCTGTGTTCCTAATAGTTATAACTTATAAATTATAATCATATTTTAATTCTTAAAAACTAGAAAAAATATTAAAAATCAAGAAATTAATGAAAATAAAATTTTGAAATGTCAATATTTTCAGAAAAATAAACTCTACAAAATGGCTCTCTTTAATATTTTTGGAAATGATTTTTTAAATTTTTTACAAAACCATTAAAATAAATTAAAAAATAAAATAATTGTAGTTCTTTTCCCTGTGAATATTATTATAAAACCAGAATTTTGATATCTCCATTATAATCGTGAGATATCGCAATGGGTAAATCCTCGCGGGACACTGTAAATTAATATTTTTGAAGGATTTGGTCATGACTCATCAAAATTAGTTGTTGTGTTTAGTTTGAAATAGATTTAACTATAAGGCAGAATTATTATTATTATTTCTTTATTAAGAATAATGACTTCAAAATCAGTGGTCATCAGCCTGTTAGAATTATTATGAATATTTCTTGTCTTAAAACTTATATTTAATTTTTATTTTTTATTTCATCAATTAAATTACAAATTTCAGTATTTTGAATTATTAACCTCTATAAGCAATACTTATTGTGAGGTAAAATGTTTATTATATTAATAATATTTGTTAAGTCACATCATTAATTATTATTTATAATTATTTTAATGTTAAAATTCATACAATGTACTATTATATAATATATTGTGAAGTTTATTAATTAATTTTAATTTACAGACGCACAAACTAAGCCTTTAAAATCATCTGATAACTATAAGCAATCTTATAAAAATTCACAACCGAGTCTATTAGCTATAAATCAAATTAACGGTGATATTAAAAATGTGATTAATTCAAGACCATATGAATGGAATGATCAAAATACAATATCTGAATTGTATACACGGTTAACAACTAATGAATTTAAAGAAGATACATCTCACACTAAATACCAAAACGATAGTAATTATGGAATAAATAGTAAGATAAATAGATCAATTGAAAGTTCGACTGAGTACATAAAAATGTGTAAAAATCAAAATATGATGAGAACATTTCAAACCGGTCATATTAATACAGAAAATAACTCTGATGATGATCTAATTAATTTTAAAAAAAATATTGAATTTGTAAAAAAACAACCAGAAAATATAAAAGATAAAATGTTTGATATAGGACATTTAAATGGAAATAAATCTCAGTCATGTTCTGTTACTGTAAGTATGAAATATAAAACATATCATCAATTAATTCCCAAATAAAATACAGATAAAATATTTATTTTTTTAAATGTTAATATCAATTACAAAGTTATGGCTTAGTTCTTTATATTAAAAGTTTTTAACAATTATTGATTCAAATAAAAATAATAAGAAAATCCAACATAGGTTTTTGCTTCAAATTTTTATCTTAACTTTTGATTTTTTTTTTTAGTTATATCAAATTAAAATGTAATCATTTTTTTAAAATAATATTAAATTAAGATATAAAATAATTTTGTTTCTTAGTGAACAATTTTTAATTTGAATTCAGAATTAATTTTATGGTTAGAGACATTTAATGGGACATTAGTTAATTTTTTTTGTGTATTATTTTTCAAAGCTTTAGTTTAATGCTGGGTTGTTTTTTATTTTCCTGTAATTGAATACTATAAATTTTGTTAAGATCAATTAAGATTTTGTAATTAAAAATATTGTTGTATTAGGTATTAATAATTTCTTACTATCCTGTATTTGCTGTAATTTTCAACATTTTTTTGTCAATGGCACAATTATAGGGGGGTTTAGACTTCTCTGTCTAAGACTCAGCCCACTCCCTTAAAATCCTTAATTGATTTAAATATAAGCCTCTATGGTAGGTTGTAGCCTTCCAGATTTTAAACCCTAGTAATAGTTGCGCCTATATTTAAACTTTCAAGTAACCATTTTTATCAGTAATTCTGCTTAAATAAAAAATTTTAATATTTCAGACTAATGGTGATTCAAACTCATTTTTTCATTCTACTCCAAAGAAAAATAATAATGGTAAGTATAGTTATTTTATTAATTTATGTAAATTCTTAAGTATGAAGTTATATATTTTTATATTTTTTGACTTGAGTATCAGCTTGGCATATCAAAAATGTATAGGCAGTGCATCAGTTTTTAAGCATACCCATAATTAATGGCTTTTCACTCTATAAAGAAAAATTTTGCCTAAGGCTAGTCGCTGACTAGCAATTTTCAGTTGCGCGATAGTAATCACGCAATCGAACGATTTGTGGCAAAACACAAACTAATTAGTTGGTCAAACTGATTAGTTGCATGTGAGCTGATTGTCACATATCACTGTGGAAGTCACCCATGCAATTAAACTATTGCGCAATTGAAAATTGCTAGTCAGCGATTAGCCTTAAAGTTACGTACCATTAAATTAAATATTTCGATATACACTTTGCGGAGCCCCTATTTCCTATATAAACTAGGAACATGCCAAGCAAATAATAAAAATTGCAAAAGTAAAAAAAAAAAGATAAAGGGTTCACTTTTGAGGTCCAGCGGCCATGGGCATCGCAACACTATTTGCTATATATAATACTGCATTAATATAAGAATAAAAACTAGTAAATAATCCATTGGTGCTAATGTTAATTCTTATTTATTTGATGTATATTATTATTTTATATTTTAATTCAATTTATTTTCAAATGTAGATAAAATAAAGTTGAATAGAAACCAGTGTATTCCTGAATTATTGAGGTTACAAATTGCAAAAATATTCAATGTGTACTGTAATGGTATGAATATTGAGAACTTTAAGTTAATTTATACTRTAAGTCAATACTATATCGATTTGTAACTTTTAATATTTATATTTATTTTTGGTTTGATTTTTAGGAATTATACCATACTATTTTTAATCCAACTGATTTTGGTTTTATATCAATTCTACAAATGTTAAAGGCATTAGATCAAATTATTGAAATAAGAAATAATGTACTATACACAAAAAATGAGTTTAAATTGTATGAAAATGTGGATTTAAACAATGAAAATGTAAATACACAAGTTTTGTTGAATATTCAATCATTAAAACTTATGATATATAATATTAAGTGGACACAATAACCACATATTTTGTTATCTTCATCTTACACGCATAAAACAGCAATGGTACTTTCCTCATAAGGCTAACTTTGTTATAATAAAAAGTAAATGTAACTTTTAATGTAATATGACTTTTATGACTTATACTAGAACTAATGTACTCCATTTATAAATATACCTGAATCTACTACCACAGTAAAATAAGAATTAACTTTTTTGATAGTATAGTTTTACCGGTACATGTAGTGTTATGTTTGTGTAAGACTGAAGAAAAATTGTGGGTGTTCTGAATAAATTTACCTTCAATTAAAAGAATCAATATTTTCAGAAAGGGTTGTTAAATAGTATTTATTTAAATACTAAAAAAATCTCTACAAGCATAGAACAACCAATATTGTCTTTTAATCAAGACAAAAAAAAAATGTTATTGGTTGAAGTGTATAATCCAAGTTTATTTTATCTACAATTGCAGTATAAAAAAGTGGAACTTGATCGTTTAATGACTCAAATGCAGTAAATATTTAAAAATAAAATAAATTAAAACAACAGTAACCATTTAATGTTTTATTTATCTTTTTTTTTTCCAGATATTTTTATAAAACTAAAAATAATGATTATTTAGTTAAACTAGAACAAATTTTACCAGGTTTATTCTATGTAACATCCTATACCTCATTTTCAAATTTAAAACAGTGGTATAGAGTTAGAGTTTTAAAGGAAGTCAATTCAACTAATGTTGAAGTAAATGTTTTATTTAAAAAAATTAATTAGATGATTACAATACATATTTTATAAATTATTTTTATTAGGTAATTCATTCAGACTTTGGAACTATTGATATTATACCCAAAACTGAATTAAGATTTTTGGATTATAAATTTTGTAGCTTACCATGTCAAGCAATCCATTGTTGTTTGTCTGGTTATAATGAACTTGATTCAATTTCACTGGATGTTACAAAAGCATTTTTAAAAATCATTAACATTAATAAGCCGKTTTTGGTTATGGTTGATGATCATTTTATATTGGTAAGTTTTATAATTACAGTAATAAGACTGGCATAACTAGGGGGTTTCTGCAAAGTATTATTTAAAAAATATTTTGTAAATGGTGCCCTTAAATCTATTGTTAATCAGTTAATTGTGGTTTTTTACACTGCTTATGCTTTAATCCAGACCAGAGTATATCATACAGATATAGTATTCAGTGCCGGCAGTAGAGTCATTGGCGCCCTGGGCGAGTATAAACAAATATGCGCCACTCCCCATATAAATAGTAGTAGTTTTATTTTAAATAAAATATTTAAGTGCCATGTTTTTATGGTTTATTTACATACGTCAACAAATCATATTTAAAAAATATCACTTATGCTTATTGTACTACTTATAAATAAACATACGTTGTATTATTTCATAAAAAAAAAACAATCAAAAAATTCTTAACATTTAGTTATTTATTTATATTAATTTTAATTTTAAAAAAAAGATTCTAAACCTTGATTGTTTTAAGTTTTAGCATTGTATCATTGAGGCGCCCCCCCAAGCGCCTTTTTTTTTTCTATTCAAAAACTTTAACAATCGCCCTGGGCCTATCCCCAGGTCGCCCACTCCTAACACCAGCCCTGATAGTATTAAAACAGTAAAATATACATAAGCTTAATATTATATCATATCCTAAAATGTATACATTTATACATAAAGATCATAAATTAAAAGTTAAAAATAAATTGTTTTGTATGCTGTTTGGATAAAATGTTTGCTCTCAAGTCTTGATTTGAAACTAAATACACATTTAAAATCAATCTTTAGTTGCCAAATATATACAATAAATAATTTAGTTATTAATTTATGTTAACAGAGTAATCAGTGCCAAATTTTACATGTCACTTTGTTCCAACATAAATCTAATGATTCAATAAAATTAGAAAATATCAACAACGAGTTGTAAGTACCTATTTAAATTTATTACATAACTGTAATTATAATAGAATAGGAATAAATCAAAGGGTTTTTACTTTTTATTTATAGTTAGTTTGTATTATACTATTATGTAATTAATGTCGTTTTCATAAGAATATATCAGTTAGTCTAAATGAGCCTTTATTCAACTCTGAGTTAACGGAGGTAGCGTGGCCGAGCGGTCTAAGGCGCTGGTTTAAGGCACCAGTCTCTTCGGAGGCGTGGGTTCGAATCCCACCGCTGCCACAGGAATTTTTATAATTTTTTTACATTTCATTTTATGTTATTTTTGTATTTATATAATTTCAAATGATAATACATTTTATTTTATTTTTTTGATATCATAATGAAACCCACCTCGTTATACTTACATTTATCAAATAATGTTTGTCCTAACCTAAAAATAATCATAAGTAATAAAAACCAACATAGGCGTGCGCGCAGGATATGCCGCTGTATAATTTGCGGCTTCATTTGAGAGGTCCATGTTTATCATACCAAAGCATTTTTGATAATATACCTTATATAGTGTTTAAAAAAATGTTTTTAGTTTTAAATTTTCTCGCGACCAGCAAGATAATCCAAACTATAGATGTAACAGCTTTATAAATATGTTAAAATTATTTAAAGACATCAGTACAATATACATATACTTAATCTTTAAGAAATAATACATTTTGTTTTAATAAATATAAATCAAATTTCAAATTACTTATTTCTACAGTGTATCGTTTAATATTCTACTATATAAAACTATGTGTGGTTTTACTGGTTTTAGATTCTAAGGGAGCAAAGAAGCTGAGTAGCATATATTTTAAAAACTTAGATTGTAGATTGACTATTGTCTATACGTGGTAAAAGAAAATGTTTAACGGCTCAGAATCGTTTTTTAAAGTAAATTATTTTACGTGCGTGATTTTTATATATTTATTATTGAGGGTCTCTATTTTTCTTATTGCATAACCTGCGAATAAAGTTTGCGTACGCTCATGAAACCCAATAAAAATGTACTTTATAATCCATTGTAAATTGTAATTCCTTCTAATTATATAAAATAATTATTAACACTTCCACTATTATAATTACTAATTATACATTTTTTTCGGAAATAATCGATTAGATATTTTTTTAAAGTTTAGTTATCAATAACTAAACTAGTTTTTTACTTTAATATATTTTATAGCATATTAAGTTATTCATAATTTTTTTCAAAGGGTGTTGGATGTTAACAATATTTTCGACGTTTATATTATATACATATAAAAAACGATAATCAAATCGGGATTCACAATCGAGCGGCTTCTTGATATTATTTCTTGTTGGTAGGTAGCGATCGTTTAAAAAAATATAATCCATTACGATCATAAATCACATATCAATCTAAAGCGTTCAATAAACCATTAAAAAAAAAAAAGAAAGACGATGGTCGGTATAAAAATCATTAAATATTAATCATTGGTATTARAGAYGTGTCTTGGTGGTAATTATAATGACGTGTGTAACATAATTAGTTATAATCGGTCTTTGTAACTAGGTATTTATGTGTTTTTGAAAAATAATAATATTTTTGTATAATGTTAAGCTTAAAATATTTAAACCATTACATTTTTACAAAAAACCTTATTTTTACTATTTATATTGTAGCAATTTTTATAATATTTTAATCAAAACCTATATTAACGCATTTGACTTTTTTACAGAACTATTTGGCACTTGAATCGTTGAGAAATAGACTATATAATCACTTTTATCAAACAAGACTTAACGGTGCTGCTGCGAGTTTTTCAATTTCGTCTATAGATGATTTTATTATTCAACTTATAATTATATAAGTTATAAATATTCAATTTTTTTTTAGTTTAAGTTTTTTTAACTCTTGTACTAGTATTATTATTTTTTTTTWAATTGAAGTAACGGGTGGCCTTTCAGTTGACCAATATTTGTTGCAGTCACTTTTTAAATGCAAACCATTACCACTCGTACACAGTACATATTGAAAATAATGTACAACTAATATGGAACTCATTTTGTACTAGTTAATAACATGAAAACAATTTGTAGTGGGTATCGCCCCAACCATGTATACTCGATAATGTACGCGTGTTTATAATATTGCACTGCTCCCCTACCCTAAAAAACGAGCCATTTTTTTATAAAATTGTTACTATTATTATTTCGTYGTCGATGCTGTATGACATATATTTTAAGTGTGTGTACAATTTACCCGTGACGTTTCTACGTCTATTGTTCGAGATTTATGTGATTTATGTATTTATTGTATCCATGTTTTCTTTGGCAAGTATACCTACTTATTGTGTATTCCTACCATGTAACTATTTCATACGTCACATCAGTTAATTATTCGCACTTGTCGTAGAACCATATTAATATGTACCTGCTATTATACGTGCGATATTATAAATTATCGTATTTATAATTGTTTGATTTGCAATTGGAATAAATCGTACGCTCCTCATTTAATAATACATAATATCTATGTTTTTCGTGTACCGCAACGACGTCATAATATTAATAACATTATTATTATAATTTTATAGTATCGTGGCGGTATTGATATTGTTTCCATAATAAATAGACTCTATATTAACCTTATTATTATATTATTAATTGTTTACTTAATTTGACATTGTACTATGACGTTATATTAACTTATATTTTAAAATCGCGTATATTTCTAAAGATATAATTATGTATTTTTTTTTTCTCAAATAAAACTGTTTTCAATCATTGTAAAGTACAAAAATGTTTATTGTATTTTTTTTCTCATCGTATATCAGTTATGCAGTTATAACTCATGGAAATGGAACTCCAATAACAAAGAAACTAAAACAATATTTTCGAGGGCCATTCTAGTTAAAATAGGTGCGTGTGTTGAGAACGAGAAAATTCATAATGTAGGAGCAAGTTAATTATATGTACTAAAATAATTAAGCGCGTTAGGTCAGTGGCGGTTTTGAGGGGAGGGGGTGACGTGGCGATTACCCTTCCCTAGGGAATTTTTTTACTTAAATTATAGCGCCGTATGATAGAATGAACATGAAATTCATGTCGTAGCTATAACATTAAACTTATAAATAAATGATACAAAAAAAAGGTATTTTTTTAATATGATAATGGGAAATATRTATTTAGTTACGTCTTTGTTATTACCTATCAATCTATGATACCAATTCACGTATCTGGTCGGAATTTTTTTAGTTTTCGACCACATATACTATATAGGTACGTTTGTTGGTATTCACTGTTTATTATTATCATTGTGGTCGTTTTCTAGCCGTGCCGTACCCATCTTTTGCGTACCACACGGTCCACGCGGAACTTAAACATGATAATAATATTGTTATAATTACGGCCGCACGATGTGAACATATTATAATATTATGCGATGCCGGTACCTATACTTAAACAATAAAATTATGACTAACTCGCCCGGGACGGTTTATTATACGTAACATTAGTACACGCACAAAATAGTATAATATATTATTATGCATTCGCGTATATTATACCGATGTATAGTTGTGCTTATAGTGCTTAATATACACAATAGTAATAATAATAATATATCTCATCTCCATCACCGGTCAGGCATGTAGGTATATAATATGATGTTATATAATGCGGGGCCAGCCGTTTGACGCACCTCTTCGCGGGTATTTACACGCCAAAATTATTATTACACGTATCCGCTGTATGCGATATTTTATTTTTCGTGTATATTATTTGTGACGTGACGCCTATCCTAATTGCGAGGGCGTCGTACGTATGTGCGCGAATAAAATTATAATAAATTATGTACTTGCGATTTTTTTTCGTCTTTGCATCATTGAATTCGGCGCGTTCAAATGGATTGTGCCCAAAAAGTAAAATCGATGTAAAATATTTTTTTTTTCCATCAAAGCTAATTATACTGCCGTGGGTTGCTAGGTAGGTGGGTCGGACCCGTTTCGCCCAAAATCGACCTTTCACGTTTTTCCCAGACACCCGTTTCGACTAAAGGCGTTTTATTCGTCTTTAAATTAAGTGGAAAATGGTTATTAAACAATATAATATAATTGTTTTTTTGTTTAAATGCTGTTATTTTTATCACCTCAAAAAGTTATGAGTCATAACTCATGACAGACACAAAAATAAAAAAGACTAATTTTTAAAAATCAATATCTCATGATTGGGGTCAGTGGCGTGGTGGACTATAAATATTCCAGAGGCAACCCCCCATATAGATGACCCACCCCACATGTATTTGCATGTAAATAAGTACAATCCTTGATACCCACCCCCCAATATTTGAAAAATCCCAGTGGCAATTGCCTCTGAAATTACTCTGCCACGCCACTGATTGGGGTAAAAAGGTGCATTCTAAATAAATTAATAAAAGTAAGAAACTAATAACTGTGCCGTAACACACCGATGGCCAATATGAATTTCTGAATAAAACGGTCGTACTGTTTGTACTAGCTGCAGCTGTAGTATATTCAATAATTCGATGTTGACATCATATCAGTATTTTACTTGTATTAACGTATCACGTATCTATTAGTCATATATTTGTACTAAACTAAAGTAAAACCACACCTGAAAGCAGCACCTGATGTGTTGTTAACTAATTAATTTATATCAGTATATCACTATACTTCTATAATACTCAAACGAACACAAATACAAAAAATACCTACTTTATCTTATATTTCCACCAGAACTTCATTAAATATGTTTATTGGAAATATTTTTACCATGTTTGGTAAGTTTGGTTATCAAAATTTTTATAGAAGAAAAACGAAAATCAGATCTTGACTAATTATGGGAAAATGTAATATAATTGTTCTATAATGATATAATTTATAAATTCGAAGAAGTGTAGCTGATGCCGTGATCGACTCGTTAACTGGTCCACTAATCACTACTATACCCTGCCATGAAGTGATATTATTGCATAGGTTCTTCAAACAAGCCAACCATGTGACCTATGTAGGTACCCCTGTCCCCTACATTGTGCTTATTGTAAATATTTCTCTTACAGATTGTAAAAATTAAATAAGTATGTTAAAAAATAAATAAATCCGAAGAGCTAGGTTTAGATGAATTCAAGTTACCTAAACAAAGAAAAATTCGAAAACGTTTGATTGAAGAGAGTCAAGAATGTTATTTTGTGTCAGATGAAGAGCAATATAAAGCACTGTTTTTTAATGAGTTGATATCATGTTATCTGCTGCAGACTGCTCCACATAAGAAATTTCAAAGTATTATAATTGAACTTTGAAAATCTCGCAAAAGTAGGAAACTTTATAGTAGATCCTAAAAAAATAAATACATATATTATAACTGACCCAGGTATACTATAAGTTGTTTATAATGACCAAAACGATTCTGTACATAGATTATAAAGAAAAATAGTACAAATCTAATCTAATACGTATCGTGTGTTAGTGCGTTACAGTGAAATATACGCGCTAAGGTGTTGTCGTAATCCATATTTATGTAGGTACTAATTAGGTAGGTTCTTTAGGTACATTATAATTTAATTATTATATAGGTACATTATTGAATTATGTCTTTGTGTACGCCGTATGGGCACGTTTTCTACATTTTATTTAGTTAAAAAAAAGTTAATCGAAAATTAAAACAATAACGAACAAAGCATCGTGAAAAGTTAAAATTATACTTTTTAATCGTATGTAAATTATTAAATAATAAATTTGTAATTATGGAATTGTCAGGTTTTTWTTTACATTTTATCATAACCTACTCGTGAGTAGCAAAAATAAATCATATTTTGAATAAATTGCCTCGAGTAATACAAAATCCTCTTTAAACCAGCGGATTCATCGTGAATGAATAATTTAACAATATAAGTCGAAATTTTGACCTTGGGGTGCCAGGGTAACACACCTTAAATAAATTATCGCTGAATTTTTAAGCGTTGGACCTCGAGATATTGATTTAGATTTACTGTAAAAGTAGATTTTGATTTTGTTTTATTTTTCAGTAGTCGTTACCATCGCCGTTATAAATTTTCGATAAATAATTTATTTTCGGTGTAATATTATCTAAATATTATAATATTGTGATTTGTCATTATTACTGACAGTTTAATTAATGAGATTAGAATGGTGGAAGGTGGAATAGCGAAATCTACTCATACGAAAAAAAATTAAATAAAAGACCGTGTCCCTTATTTTGTTATGAACTTTTTTTTTGTATACCTAGTTAGTTTGGAAAAGATATTACTATTTTAAATATATTTCAGATTGTTTTTAGTTTTTATAATACAGATTAAATAAAATAGGTACGGGAATAAATTTTATTCTCGACGTCTCCTCGACCTTAACACTCATACGTCCCCACTGGAGATACTGGAGAGTGGAGATGAGAGCCTACTGTTATTTTGGAATTAAACTTCCGATATTCTGTGATCAATAAATTCTTGTTAAAAATATGGTATTACGTATTGTTTTATTGCATACGTTTGATGAATTTCACTGAGCCATAGTTTTTTAAAAATTATTTAAACACAACCATAAATAGTATTGTGTGGTTTGCTGTAGTGTAAATCAAATAATATATAGGTACCTGCACCAAATAATAATTATTCATTATTTAGTATTTATTATGTGTTGATACGAAAATGTTTTACCTTTTAAGCATGTACCTATAATAATATTTATATTCACATACCTAAATATGTATATAATATGTATGTTGTTTTATGTTTTGAAAATCTACGTCCTATACAAAATTATTGTTAAAACATTCGTCACAACACGCAGACCGTGATGTGCTAACTATTAAGCTATTAAGTTAAAAAAAAATTCATTGACATAAGTCATAAATATACAAACTATGACAAATAACTTATGTGTCATTAGGTAGGGGAGACCCAGGCAATTGAATATGTTAAGTTTAGAACCAAAAAATTACATCAAAAAGTGTTTTTAAATTTAATTCAATAATAAAGAACTTTTATCGACTATCTTAATTTAAGAACCTATAACTTGGAATCTATATAATAATATAACCCTCAGCAAGCATTTTTTTTTTTTAATTTAAACTATTCATTTATAAATACTAATTTATTAACATTTAAGCTATTTAACTAACTAATTAGTTATTTAAAAAAAATAAAAATAACACAATAGGTAAAACATGATTTTCGAACAAATAAAAATAACTTTAATCCTTCACAAACAATATTCGCATTAAGATCATATAAAATCTTTTTTTGTTATTTTAACGTGTACAAACATCGTCATTTTGAAATTTATTGAAAATCAAAAGCATCTATACGGTTATTAGTTTTGAGTTACACCAAACAACTAAATTCGTAATAAGTAAAAATAATAACCGACAAAAATGTATAAATAATATATTTGACTATAATTAATCATAATTCTAGTACCTAATACTGGTACTTGAGTTAATATGTATATTTTGTATACGTCAAGCAGTCATGCAGTTATACAGATGACACGTTTTTTTTTTATTTACGATAACAAAATTTATTTATATGATAAAATATGTGTCAGGTGTTCGGAATGACCTACAAAAATTACAATCTCGACATTCGTTCTTATCAATCTGGATAACAATTAATAAAATACACCAACTAAAGTTTGGTTTTACACTTGGCAATATTTATATTTTAAAGCATTTATAAACAAAGCGCTTCAGTTGATATGGAATGAGA